GAATGTTAACACTTTGTAATAATTCTTTAGTATATTACTTGTGTGGTGTAGAAGATAATTATTTAAGAATGTAATTATGTAAGAATGTTAACACTCTGTTATAATTTTTTTAGTATATTACTTGTGTGGTGTAGAGGATAATTATTTATGTAGATTTACTGCTTGCAAACCAATGATGGTAAGATGATGTCATGGGGTAGGACTGGATAAGTCTGACTTCTTCCTACTCCATTCAAGCATGTACTAGGTATAAGCAAATTGATATTGGATTAGCATTTGTTGGATATGTGTAAAATGATGTGTGTTGACATATCAACTGTCTTTACATGCTTGAAAGAATAAATCAAATTTAAAAAAAAAACAAAAAAAAAACTGGTTAATCTTGAAAAGCAACTTGATAAATGCAGCCTGTGGTCATGGCTGTTTGCTGACAATGTTTCTTTATTGCCAAGACACAAATAAAACCTCTATACTACAAATGCTGTAACTGACAAACAAATAATTATAATACAGTATATATTTTACCAACCAGTGATGCTGGTAGTTCAGCTGCATTCCCATCTTGAGAAAATCCAGTTTGATCATGTCATCCTGGTTGCCCTTCTTGTAGTTTTTTGTGCACACATGCTTGCATTTAACATCTTGTTTGAATTTGAACTGTAAAAGGAAAATGAGTCATGTTGCATCAAGAGAGTAAATTAGACACATGAAGTTGAGAGTCTAAAAACAAGAAATAACATAACAACTGCACATGCTTAGATTTTCTGCCAACACCCACCTTGTATGGTGAAGACTCAATGCGTTCACCAAAGAGCACCTGCCCCAGGTTTTCAGAAGGCCTCATTTCCTTGGCATCTTTGCAAAAGTCAAACCTTTAATATAGTCCCAGAATGACAAAGTGAAAATATGATACCAAGTTAGAAAACATGTATCCAGAAATTGCACAAAGAGCATCAACATAAATGGCACTTACATCTCATATTCATAAGGCAGGACTGACTCCACTGAGTCCAAGCGATTGACAAACAGCTGAATCGTAGTCTGTAAAGAAGCCCAAAAAAAAAGTGTTTTTTTTTTAGGCTATATTTCTTGAACAAAAACCAAGTGAGCTATAAACAGCCAAAATCATTGCTATGAGTAATTGGCAAGCTGAAGGTTAACAGGATACTAATGTTAATAAAATAACTGAGTCCTAAGCATGACTAAGTTGAGGTATCGCTATGCTGAACCCAAACATAAAGTCAAAAGTTTGGAAATACCTTCTCATTCAGTGTTTTCCCTTGGTTTCTATTATTTTCTACATTGTAGATGAATACATAAGACATCAAAACTATGACATAATATAAATGTTTCATATTCAGATTCCTCAAAACAGTCTCTGTGTACCTTGATGACAGCTTTGCACACTAATAGCAATATCATAACCAGCTTCATAAGACTGTAATTGTTTACAATTCAAGGTTGTGCTTTGTCAAAAGTTAACTAGAGCAGTTGCCTATCTTTTTAATGTATCTCAGACCATGACTTGTGTTGTGCAAAGGTAGCATAGGTATATAGCTCAATGTGATCCATCGATCTAAAAAGTTTCAAGAACTTTGAAAGTTTCTTCAAGAGCATTTCAACAAAACATTCAAACATCAATCAGATCATCAAGAGGACCTGATGAGGCCAGTGATGCATCAAATCACCTGGCCTCTACAATCACCAAGCCAGAATGCAAACCAGCTGGTTTGGAATGAGCTGAACCTCACCTGAATGGAAAGCAGCCAATAGATTCTCAGCATATGTGGGGACTCCTTCAAGACTGCTCTAAATGATACCTGCCTCATGAAGCTGATTTAGAGAATGTTAAAAGTTATCAAAGCAAAGGGTGGCTACTTTGAGGGATGTAAATCTGAAACATATTTTACATTGCTTGCTTTTTCTTTATGTGCTAACATTCTCATGGTAGGTTGGTGAAAACCTGACACCACAGAAAGTATCTATACCCTGTGCTATGACAGTGAGTGCCAACAAAAACATTTGAGATAGCAATACACTGTAACGTAGTGCCAGCGTTGCGTCGAGATCTATTCTTAAGTCTTAACCCTAACCTGACTATAACAATCGCGGAGAGTGTTACTTGAAAAACTGTTCTTCTCTATGAGAGAGCAGATTTCGACACAAGAATGGTTCCAGGTAATAGCCTGGGCCTAAGGACAGAAGGCTGGATATATAGCAAGCAAGATTAAGGAAGATAATAAATACAATTATGTCCATTCAAACTTCTGTAGAAAATACACCACATTAAATAAGCACTGTGAATCTTGTAAGTTCACCATACCTGACAATCTTCACTATCTGTGCCGTCTCCACAAAAACTCACTGGAGCTAAACCCGGAAGATAAAACGCCGAGCACGTATAGACTAGTGAATAAAGCAACAAAAAACCAAAGTGTCTCTGGCTCTTCATTTTCTTACAAACACAGTGCTTCGAATATATGGGTATACTTCAGTCAAAAAGTATTCCTTCTTTCAAAGGCAAGAAATGGTTGCTAGCTGTTCACGGCTAACTGGGTCTTTCTAAGTGGGACGCAGTAGATGAGCTGTCCTAGCGTCTGTGACGTTTGGTCAGGTTTTGGCGGAAGCGCTTTTAACACCGGAAGTTAAAGGTTTTGCCTTCGAAATAAATACATACACTAACTAATCTGTTTACTATGTATGAATTCTGCGTTTATAGCTAATGTTATGAGATGAAAAGATCATTTACAAGGTCATTTTATGCACACGCATAGCATAAATACAATTATAAATGCTTACATTTTCAAACTGTGCAACACGTACATCGGTTATGATTTTACTTTGAAAGAATAAAAAATCATTTTGTCTTGGCTGAGAAAATAACGAGGCTGGGCGTTGCTTATGAAGGCAACGTCTTAATTTTTTCTTTCTTTCTTTTGTAAGCAAATATTTTTGCAAGATAGAAAAGCAGTCTATTATAGAATGTCGTATGAAATACCACATTGGTGATACAAAATAATAATAATAAGAGGAAGCAAAAAAAATGGAAAGGGGACTACAATCAGAAACTGAGATTAGGCACTTGACTAGACTAGAAAAACCGGATTGGCTTGTCATATGCGTCAAACTACTCTTTGGGCAAAAGTGCAAAATATAATCTTATTTTACCTTATATATCTTTGTTATCTTAATTGATATCTTTTTAAAAAGGAAAGAACCAGCGTAGCTTGGCTATACTTGTGCACCTGTATAGTTCATGGATGAGATTACAACCGGGTTCCTAAAGGGGCATGATAAAAGGAAAAGATAGTGGAGTAGGAGATGTGGTTGTTGCACCGTTTTGAGGAATGTGTGTATCTTTCAAGTAAATATGATAATATACGCGCAAATAAAATGATTGCAGATATGGCACCTAATGACAGCGTGAACCCAAAGGAAAGAAGTAGGAAGATGAACTAATAGACCGCGTGTGTGTCATCAGCATACTGGTCTATGTCCCAGCTGCCAGGTACTCTCACGCCCATAAAAGAAGGAAGAATAAGATGAAGAATCTATCATAAGAAAAAAATGCCTACAGGTTACACAAGGTTGAATATATCAAGCAAAGAACAATAAAAGTGAGTCAGTCTGTCAAATAAGGAATTGATTTCTGAATAATGGGTTCAACTGAGCAAATAAAATCTCTTGTTCTCATTATTTATTTTCCCACAGCAGTTGGCAAGTGACTACTACTGTGCGCGCGTCATAGGTGCACTCCAGAACTTCATCAATTAACCCTTGTAATCTGTTTAAATAATTAAATGTCCGTTCTGTTCGGGTCCTACAGGGCCGGAGAATCTTTATGGATTCATAAGTCCACATCTACAAACAATTTTTAATCAAAAACAATGCAAAAACCTAGTCATAATCAACAAATGTTAACACTACAGGCTGTATACCTCTGGTTAGTTCATGCTACCGCGCAGTAGTGTAAAGGTGATAAAACAGTTCACAGTTTTGAACTGTAGGAGGCAGTGTTGTATCGAAAGGCGTCGGGACTGCTGGAAACAGAAAGGAAGTTATAGTAGAAGAAGGCGAGAAACCATTGTTCACCGTGGTTTGCTGCGATATAGTGCGGTCAGGTAGATGCATGTTTGCATATTTAATATATGTTATTATACTGTATCATTGTGGTGTACGTTTTATAAGTAAGTTTTTGACGTTCGTAAAGCTAACGCTAAGTGTTTCGTTAGTAGCTGGAATAGTCACTGGCTGGCGTTAGCCAAATAACTAGCTAACGCTACAACTGCTAACGTGTTTATCGCCATTTTGCGCATTCAGCAGCCCAAGACTTTCTCCCACAGTAAGGTAATCATCACGGAGATGTCTAGGTACCCAGAGCAAATATAAAGTTGCTTTAATTTGTGTGCAAATGTTCAAAATATTGTTAACTTTATAGCAGCTTTTTTTTTTTTTTTTTTTTTTTTTTTTTTTTTGCTGCAGCTGGTGGATTTCGCATCATGGCAGAGGCGGACCGACCAGGGAAGCTCTTCATCGGTGGACTGAACACCGAGACTACCGAGAAGGCCGTATTTCAGCAAATATGGCAGGATTGTCGAAGGTGTGAATGGAGCCACTGTTAGCTATTTTACTCTCACTGCACTCGCGCTCTTAATTAATGCCCAGTGCATGTGTCCTACAATAATTGTAATAGCATCAACGCTTTATAAAAACTTCTTTTGTGGTTTATTTTTCAATATTTTCGAAGGAATGGGTTTCTTCAAGGCTAATTTTTTAATGAAGGAATTGTATTTTTTTTAAATGTGTAAATTAGTTTACATATAAAATTTGTACAAATGAAAAACATTTTAAATTTAAGTTCAGAACTTAACATTTTAAATTCAGTACGAACTTTAAATGTAGATAAAGTTTAGTTTAACAATCTATTCATTTCTTATTACTTTGTCCAACTGCAATTGTAACAATATAGGTTGTTGTGCTTTTGTCATACAGCAATGTAATCAGTTTAAGCTATCAGTCACGGAGCACAAGCTCTCGTCTTACTTATTTCCTGATTTCAGTTTTGTTGATGAAGGACCGTGAGACCAACAAATCAAGAGGCTTCGCTTTTGTTACTTTTGACAGTCCAGCAGATGCAAAGGATGCAGCACGTGAGATGAATGGAAAGGTAAATACTATACTTGGATAGCTACGATATTTAAAATATTTGCTTGAAACTTTGCAATTGTAACTCTTCTACCACAGTCTCTAGATGGTAAGCCAATCAAAGTGGAGCAAGCTACAAAGCCTCAGTTTGAGAGTGGTGGCAGGCGAGGACCTCCACCCATGCACTCTCGCAGTCGTGGTCCACCCAGAGGCCCTCGTGGTTCCAGGGGAGGCCCTGGTGGTATGAGGGGCCCACCATCCAGAGGTAAATTTATTTATTTGGGCAGTTTTGTAATATTATAGGTTTTGTACTTTTGTGTACAGTGTCATTGATAGTAATTTTTTGTAATACATCTTTTGAGCTAAGAGTGATAATTGAATTCCTTGTCTGTGAAAAGACTACTATGATAATTCAGGGAATGTAGAACCCTTCTTTAAAGGGATGTCATCCAGAGGTCCCCCTCCGATGAAGAGAGGACCCCCAGTTCGTAATGGAGGTCCCCCACCAAAGAGGTCCGCCCCATCTGGTCCCATGAGCAGGCGTAAGTAAAGTTCTGTTTATACTTACCTCAGTTTAAATATACACAGTGATGTGAGCAATTTAAAAATCTTCACTGGCAGGATTACCACAAAATATTGGATCGTACCATATTTCTCTTGGGTTTATCTAGACTATTGGAACAGATTTAATAACTTTGGTTTTAACGTACCATCTAGCATTCCTACAATTACTTTGATAGGATGCATGTATTTCAAGGTTATTTGGTGATTGGATGAGCTAGTTTGTCTTTACTTTGTGTATTCCAGCACCCATGTCAAGAGACAGGGATCCCTACGGTCCACCCCCTCCTCGCCGAGACTCGATGTCCAGAAGAGATGATTATCCATCACCACGAGATGACCATTACCACTCCAAAGATAGGTAGGACATTTCATATTCTGTTACATTGCACAGTAAATTAAATGTGAATGGAAACTGTGTCCTATATCTGTGAAGACAAAAAAAAACTCCTTTGACAATTTTGAACGTACTTTGAGGTAAAAAAAAAAAAAAAACCAAACTACATTGTAACCATGTAGGTCATAGGTAAACAATCAGTCAACTGAAATGTAATATACTCATAACTATTTAAACTGTTTTGTCAATTGCCAATAATATATTTAATATTGTGGTCACAGCTCTGGATTTATTTATGCTATGTTTCACAGCTACTCCAGTCGGGACTATAATTCTAGAGATTCAAGGGACTATGGCCCTCCTCCCAGAGATTATTCATATAGAGAATATTCCAATTCCAGTTCCCGAGATGACTATGGCTCAGTGCCAAGAGGATACAGGTATATGTATGAGTTGATATGCATGGTTAAAAAGGGAGATTTGAGCTCATTTGGTCATCCAGTAACAACTGTTCTTTTTATGTAGTGACCGCGATGGTTATGGAGGAGGCCGGGAACCTCGCAACTATATGGACCGTCCGAGTGGTGGCTCCTATCGAGATTCATATGATGGTTACGGTAAGATGCGACTCCATGAGTGTAATGACAACAGATAACCACTGTGGCACAGAGAAGAGCTGCACAAATAAGCAGCCATATCATAGCGCTGAACACTGCATTCTCCAGTCACAAGAAGCTGCAGTTTGTCCCCCCCCCCCCCAAAGAAAACGCCTTTGCCTTTTAAAACTTTTTATCTTTCAACCTTTGGCACAACTCTGGTCTGCGATTCAAGATGCATATTTTCATGGTAATAGAAATATATGGCCATTGGCATGTCAACTGAAAAACAAAATTATTATATTGAAATGTGTCCACACATCACTGTCCTTATTACTGCAGCTTTCATCTAAAGAATCAGTATTTGTGGCAGTATCATGCAGAAGTAACGCAGAATGTGCCCCAGAGAGTTTGCAACCTTAAGGAACCCCAAAAAAGTCCTTGGAAACATCCACTGAGCATTCACTATGTGTTGCCTAGCAAAGCACTCCCTCAAGGAGTAACCTTCAAAAAAAACCATCAAGACATCTCTGAGAACGCCGTCCTTACCTGCAGTTCTAACACTTGGATCTCTAAAAGGAAAAATGGCTACTCAAATCACTGGCATGCTGAAATGGGTAACAGTGCCCATTTATTCCCTGTTCATGGATATATTACTCCACATATCAACTAAATATCCACGTAAATTTAAAATCAATAACATGATGGGAACATGTCGTCCTTTAAATTTTTTTTTTTTGTCACTGAATGAATTCTATTGGCACAAAGTAAGCACTTGACAGTGCAAGAAAATGTATAAATTAAACCTTGCCAATTACCTGACCCATTGACCCTGCAGGTAACTCTCGCAGCGCCCCACCTTCACGGGGCCCCCCACCATCCTATGGTGGGAGCAGTGGAAGCAGTCGTTACGATGACTATGGCAGCAGTTCCCGGGATGGCTATGGCAGTCGTGACAATTACCCCAGCAGTCGGAGTGAGCCATATCCACCTAGCCGTGGTGAGCGAATGGGCAGGCAGGAGAGGGGCCCAGCTCCCCCTGTCGAGAGAGGCTACCCTCCTCGTGATTCATACAGCAGCTCAAGTCGTGGAGGGCCACGTGGTGGCCGTGGTGGCAATCGAGCCGATAGAGGAATGGCTCGCAGCAGATACTGAACTGGACTTGGAAGTCAGATTAAAGCAAACATTAGTCTCCGTGCTCAGTAAATACGTGTTTTGGAAGAAATCTGACAGCGCTTTCAAACTAGCCATGTCTAAATCTGTGGAATATGACCCTTAGCTTTGAATTGTCTTGACTTTATCAGTTTTTTTTTAATGTGTAAACTTCTTTTTTTTTTTAAGTATCTCTTGCTCATGTAACAGTACAGTTACCAAGTGAGTGTTAGTTTTTGTACATTCATTGCTGTTTGAATCTGCAATGCCCTATAAGTCTGGCTTTCATACTCTAATAAAGCTTTTAGTTGTACCTTCCCCACTGCTCATCGATTTTCAAAACACCAGACAGCAACATGAATGTTAAGTAACATGATCTTTCCAAAGTTCTTTGTAACACTTAGGTGAGTCTCTGCTCGAACTATATAACAGTCGAGTCAGTTGAGTTCATTCTTAACACAGATGTGCCTCCAAGTGGATGTTACTGTTTTCAAGGGTTAGGCAAATGTTACTGTCAAAACCTGCCAATGTTGTTTCCTTGGAAATGGATCCATCACCCTAGAGCCATTTGATGGCATTCAACGACAAAACCAAAGGCAACAACAAATGCAACTCGACCGATAGTCAACAGCTGGTAAGCAAAGCAAACCTCTTTGTTTCTCATCTGTAAATGAGTTTCTCATTGTCCTGTATTGCAATCTCCACTGAAAGGGTGATGTTCAAGACAACTTTTGCCACAGGAGACAAAAGATAAAGCAGGTCAACTGAATGGGCCTTTTTCATTGTAGTCCCGTATCATCGGCTGAACTTGCCAAAGTAAAGCAGCGCCCCAAGAAGTTTCGTCGTTTTTGCAACAATGAAACTTTAACCAACACAGCCCTGAAAACTCATCATTTTTTCCTAACCAATCATTCAACTTCAGTAAAATGATTGGCAACAGCACATAAAAAAAACAGGTAAAATGTGTAATTTTTAAGTTTTTTTTTTCTTGCTAAAATTGTAAGCCATTTTTAAATTAAGAGCCATTTTCTCAATATCAAAACCCTTCCCACAAGCATGCCAATTCAAACAATGGAGACCTCTGGAAGAACACCATCGTCCTAACTGCCAAACTGGACTCGATCAATAAAAAAAAATAAAAAAAATCACAGTCAGAACAAGGACGACAAAATATTTCAGATATTTTATGAATACACGATCAAGAGAAGGGCAAGACATTAATAAAATGTTCTCATTGCAGGATGAACATCCTTCCAAGGCGACTGCCCTTGCAACTTACCTGAATTGTTCTTAACGGACCAGTGAAACCATAGTGCACCAGTGCAGGTATGTTAACCAGACTAATTTCGCCGCTGCAGCCGTGTTGTTGTTTTTTTTTTTTTTTTTTTATGTATTTGTAAAATAAATGCTATTGCATATAAAATGTTGCAAATGACCAACAGTGTTGTCCTATAATGGTTATCATCACATTGATGTAAAATTACATGGCTATGTAAACTTTTATTTTTTTTAATGTTTCCTGTCTTTCAGCTGCTGGCACGGGTTTTCTGTCGAGACTGCTGGGGGAAACTTTTCAAGTGGAGAATGTGTCCAAAGTGGGGAGAACACATGTTGAGGATTTGCTCAAATGCAAAGTGTTGGGTTTATGTAATAAAACCTTTTTAAAAGAATTTTGTTGTTTCAGTTTTCTCTTGACATAAAAGAAGCACAGTTACAGTATCTCCTGTGGAGGTATTTTAGGTGATATTGTAATTTTTTAAAAAGGGGGTGATGCATTAAGTGCAGTGTTAATGTAATAAATCATTCATAAAGATGATAGGTTTTGTTATAGAGAGCTGTTGATTCAAGTGTAAGTCATGGAGCCTGGAGTTTGTGCTGCTGTTGGATTGTATTGCATTATACTGACCGGTATTTCTATGAATTTGTCCACCCCATTTATGTAAATAAGGCTATGCTACAGAACTGGGTATTGACTGTATATGTGAACAGCAGTGATCAGCTTGTATAGAGTAAGGAAAACGTGCTAAAAACAGAATGGCTCGTTTCGTATCTTTATCAAAGTTTTAAAAATGATAGGATACACATCAGGCCCATTCATCACATCTTATTTTGGTAGTAGGCTACATTTTTCTCTTGAGAAATATGCTCATGCACATCAAATATCAATCCTCTGGTAGGGTTTGCTGATCCTTGCTGCACTTGTAATATAATATGAGGGCAAATGCCCTCTGCCAGCATGTGCTACTTTGCAGAGTAGTCGAAAACTCCGGTCTACTGTTGAGGTACTTATTTGCCAGTAGGGGTGATCATCAGATTTGCGTACAGAAACAGCGTCGTCCTAACCCCCCCCGCCGCCCTTTTTTTTTTTTTTTTTTTTTTTTTTTTTTTTTTAGCCAGGGTGGGCCCCTTCCCCCCCCCCCCCCTGTTTTTTTTTTTTTTTTTTTTTTTTTAAACTTCTAGCAGAAGTGCGGATGTCAGTTGCATATTGCATATAGATACGGAACAGGCCACCAGTTTTTTTTTCTTCTTAAAAGCATGCTCAGGCAATGATCATTTCGTGGAACTATGAATCCAGAGGAGCAGACTGTAACGTGGTTAATATCACTGGGAGTGCTCAGCTCGCCTAAAAAGAATATAGCGGACCCGGAGGAGTTTCTGAAAACATCGCTGAAGGATGGGGTTGTCCTGTGCAAGCTCGCAGAGCGGCTCATACCTGGCTTCACTGCCAAGGTGAGTTGTTGGTTTACGCTTACTAAAGGCCACAAATACCAAAGGGTAGTACTGGTGAAAGGGAGGGGGATGGGTTGGAATGGGGATGGAAATGATAGCCTACCGACAAGAACTTCTCCCTGCAGCGGGCCTGGCATTTTTTTGTTGCTCACTTCTCGTACAGTCAAGTTTTGTGTTTGCGTTATGTGTGATGCGCTATGCATCGAATTGAGTCTGCATTTGACGAGTTTTCACATGTGAGATGTCAAGATATGATTTCCTGTGAAGCGGATAAAATGTTCCGCATTCTTGACACGAGCGAGTCGGTGTGAACACCTACCAAAAAACAGGGCAAACTCCGTAGCCGGAGTGCACGAAACATCGAACATAGATCATATCGGTGGGATCTAACGGGGTGTTTTAGTCGTCTCACACTTTTTAAACAACTTTTTTTGATGTGATAAACATAATCAACGTTGATAACATGTTTGGTTATAGAGATGGCAAAGTTGATAGTGACAAATAACAGTTGCGACTACAGTTCGTCACTTCCTCCTAGTGGCTCGGCTCTTCCCGGTGCGTCCTCCCCCTTGGAAAAAAGCGTTAATATAACTGAAAACAACTGGGATAAAACCGGAAGTACTAACTTCTCTATTGTTTCGTTTACCTTTCTGCTGGGTTTGTTGTCCGTTCTCATTGGCTGTCATACACTGCGCTTAAAAGTACAGTTTGGACTTTACTTACAAACATTGAAAAGCCAAACTTGTCCTTAATATTCGTTCTCGAATATTTCCGTTAATAAGGATTTTATTTTGAAGGCTGGGAATTTGAGCGGATGTTTTGCGTCAATATGGTTATTTGCATGTTTCTTTGGTGTTAATGGTTTTGTATGCATGAAGGAGAGACAGGAAGAATTCAGTTATTTTGTCAATCGTAGGTTAACACACACTGATCACTACGATGATGTTACTTTATGCGCTTTTATGTACGACTGAACTGACCGTAGCGGCGGTTGGAAGGGTTATTTAAGCGCTTGTGTCAGATGTCGATATGGGATATTCATCCGAGGTGTTTCAATATATTTATTTTGTGTGTGTGCTCAGTATTGTCAGGACCCAAGAACTGAAGCCGAGTGCATTTCCAACATCAGGGAGTTTTTAAGAGGATGCTCGTCCTTGAAAGTGGAGGTAAGTTACCTCTGTGTGTCAAGTTTCATGCACAAATGTACGATGTTTTGATGTGGGTTGACCTTTCTCTGTCACTACCTCCTTGCTTGGCCTTCTTAGCCCACTGCAGTTTGCAGAGGTGACTTAAAAACACTCTTGCCTGTGCTGTGGTCTGCTTACTCTACTGGCAGATGTTGTCCTCACACTTCCATGTGGAGTGTGAGACACAGCCATGCTGTCAGTCACTCCCACTGGCCGGAGAGGAAGGGAACCACTAGCTCTATTTTCAATTGGACACAGTAAAAGTTTTTGACCCTGTTTACTTTCTCCTGAAATCCCATTCTCTTTCACTTTGCGAGATCTTTTGTCCCTCTCTTCTTTTTTGTGCTTCAAGTAAAAAAATAAAATAAAATCCCAAGGCACTAAAGGCCTGCATTGCTACAAAGGTACCCTAATACTGGAAAGGATCAAATCATTTGCAGATGTTGGGAGTTTTCTCTGTCTCTGCACCAGCCTGTTTGACTGCCACAGTGGACAGTAATTTTGCCTCCAGCTATATAAATACTCTTTTCTGGTCTTGAATCACATCGGTTGATTTTCATGAAACAGCTAATCGAGTCAGCAGCTTGGCTCACAGCTAAATCAAGTGGTTTAGTAGTTCTGCCCAGCTGGCTTGTTATGTCTAGGATGGCCCCTTTGCTTTTATCCATCAACCCTGCCTTAGCCCATAATTAGACGCTTTTTGCGGCCAGCCAGTAGCTCACGGGCAGAAGTTTTTGGAGGGCCACTGTCAAATACATCAGTCAAGGGATGTCTGTGGCACTACAGCGAGCCCTGCCCATCCTTTGGTTGGTGATGGGATCATTGCTAAAGAACTCTTTCTCTTGTGTTTTGCCATAGTTAATATCACCTGTTTGTCCTGTGACTGCACAAAATGAGCGGCCATACTGGTTTCACTTCTGCCCTGAGATGCAGAAAGAGGAAGTGCCAGTTACTGCTCAAGGCCCCAGATTTTTCTGCTGTTATGAACTGCTTGAGCTGATTTATTTGTATTGATTTTATAGTCATTCAGAATAGCAGCGTGTATTTATAACATGAATCATTGAAACTGCTGACCATAAGTACAGCCAAGGTCTCAGTACTTGCATTGGTTGTTTCGGATTGAGATAAAGACAATGATATAAGATCACCTCCTTTTGTTCCATCAGTGCAAATGGGTTTCACCACTGTTTTTTGCCTCTGATACCAATGATACAAAATCATTATGCAGAAATTCAATATTGTGTTGTAGCTGTTTTTTTCTTGATGAAAAGCAAGCACAAGTCCATCTCAGTTGTCATGTAATCACTTGCTTTAACTCTGTATGAGGTTATACACAACTCCTGACCAATGCTGTACTCAAACTCTATATTTAAGATGGTTTATTTAAAATGTGAAGCCTTATCTGTTGGTGGAGTGCAGATAGCTGTCTGAGAAAAACCAAGCAAGCTGTGTGTCTGTGAGTGTGTGAGCGTCTACAAGTCATGAGCATGGCACTGTGTGTTTTACAAATGACTAACTCACAGAATATGGGTCGCGCTCGCTGTCAGTTTTTATCGGTCTTGCTACTGGATTATTCAAATCCTTGTCTGCGTTTTAATGTGCACATCTTTCTGTTGTTTGTGCCTATCATTTTCTTTCTCTCTCTGTGCATTTAGCAAGCGTCACTGCTCAGATCTGTGCAATTTATAGAATAAGTTCTAATTTGAATTGACAGTTTTTCCACATTTGATGGATTCCAGGTTTTAGGAACAGGTTTTTTTTGTTTTATTTGGTGTAATTGTATCTTCTCTTTTTCTTTTCCATCCAGGGGTTTGAACCAGAGTGGTTATATACTGGTGAGAATTTTAGTAAAGTACTGACCTCTTTGCTGGCCGTCAACTTTGCCACACAAGGTAAGAGCTAATATTTTGTCCTCTCTGGAAGTGAATAATCTGATTGTAGTGGCTAGTATTAGATGTTACATTATACTATCCTGATGGCTTAAAGAAAACAAGGCATCTAATAGCAAAAAGAAAAACTTGATTTCAGTGAGATAAGAAACGTGCACCCCTCCCCGGCACTTGATGCAAACATTCCAATAAACAAGCTTAGATAATAAGTAAACACTACATGTAGTTTTTGCCTCCTGTATGTGCCATGATGGTCGTCAGTTTTCAGCCATCCTAAATCATGATTGAGTGTGTTGCCCATGGGCAGCTGGGGTGGCAGTGTGTGCTTCTGTCATGCTGGGTGCCATATTTCCTCATGTGCATCCATAGCTTGATACACCCTGAATAATATCCTGCTTTATTGTTGATTTTTTTTTTCTTTCATTTAAGCTCTAGTATGCAACTGAATATGAAGGCCTGCCGTTTAGACATACACTCCCTTCTTGATTAATTATCAGAATTTTTGTAAATTCATTTTCTGTTTTTGACCCATCAGTTAATCAGCTGACTGTTTCCATACTACACGATGTTTCCTGCTACACTTTCCCTTTGTGATATGTGACACTTTCTGATCACTTTATTAATGCATGATCAGTCTCTCGAGTGCACTTAAATGGAGGGAAGGATGCATGTCACAATGAGATGCGGTGGACAAGACCCCTCTGTCAGCGCCAAGCTTGGCTTGATCTGCAAATTGTTCATAGGCTGGCTATGCTCGGCAGTGAACTTGATTTGAAGTAGATTGGTCGCATGTTAGCTAATGTGATCAAACATAAGAGTGATGCTCTTCCAAGCCTGGATTTGCTTCTGCGTTATGTGTTTCTGTGCTCCTTTTGTTGGTTTAGGGTAAATGTTTTTAGCATTACCTGTGTACAGACTTTATCATGGTAACCTCAGAGCCTAGGTGACAGAGGGGCTTGTTAGGCTTCTCTGTGTGTGTGTGGGAGGAGTGACGTGTGATCCATGAGCCCCACCAGCAGCAGTTCTGCCTCAGTATGATGCACCCTGATGTCTCAGCATATGGAAAGCCATAGGAAATATCCAGCCTTTTTCCATCTATTCATACAGTGCTGATATTCCAGATAATGTGCTGATAAAAATTGTGCAAAAAGTGTCACTATAGAGCATTTTACTGCCTGAACTAAAAACATATTTAGGTGTTTGTCAGTGTTATAGCCTCTGTGTTAAACTCCTTATTGGGTCAGAAGAGGTTACAAAGGCTAATAGTGCACATTATGATTATTATTTATTATTTTCTCATTTGTAATGAGACAGTAGACCTGATGAGTGCCAAGTTGGCATTTGATGGAGAATCTTAGGTGAGCTTGTTTCTCCTTGATATTCTGTAAGAGGGCTGCTCTGTGTCACTTTTCAAGTGAGCACTGGCACCAAAATTGATCCCCCAGTCAGTGCATCTCAAGGACTGCACTCACACTGCAGGAGAGCTAGCAGCTACTGACCCTAAATCTTTGCTCCTTTTACTGCAGTGGCTCAGCGGTGATACTGTAGAAACGTTGGATGTCTGTAACATAAATCTGATTTCCCTCCACAAGTCACCCACTAGACTGCACGTCAGATAAGAGACATGGCTGGAGAAGATAAATGCGTCACTTACTCAGAATGAACATATTTGCTGCGCTAACCATAGACTGCATGAGTGATGACTGAGATATGTTATAATCTATAGACTGCATGCTGCCTTCATTTTTACAGCTGCTTGATCTTTCTCTTTTTATTTTTTTGTAATGGTGTGCCAGTTTTGTAAAATTATTCTATCAAGCATCGTAAATGTTTATCCAGTGTGTGTGTGTGTGTGTGTGCATATTCATTATCCTGGGGCTGTGCAGAGCAATGGACCATACTCGCATTAATTATATCAGCTTGTCAGCCCCCAAACTACAGTATGTGCACCTGTGTCAACTGTGATGGTGTGCATGCGTTTTCAAGGTGAACCTATGCTGTATACCTGAGAGTTGTGCATTCAAAGATGAGTGTAAATGAAATAACAGAAGCTCCATGTTTCCTCTGTGTGTGTCCATAGAATGTGTTGCTGAAAGGTCATGTTCACAGTCCGGTGCCACCTCCCCTAGCCACTCGACGTCTTCACACACATTCTCCTCTGTCAAATCCAAAGGTTCTCTGCGTAGACAATCCAAATCAGTGGTATGGTCTCTTCTGTCTGTCCGTCGATTGATTTTCTCTCTTACTGTTGTCTCCTCACTTCACATGCTTGAAACTGGTTCACCCAAATTAGATTTTACAGCTGTCTCTGCACACCACCACAAGGATTTTGAAATGAAGTAGTCAATATATCACTGAAGTGTGTATTGTCAGCTTTAATTCAAGTGGTTTAACAAAAATGTCTCATTAAACAGTTTTCACTTCAGTGAGTGAAACGCATGCTTAGTTGAGTTGAGGACAGGTGACCGACTCGGCCATTGAAGAATATTCCATTTCTTTGCCTTGAAAAGCTCTGGGGTTGCTGTCGCTGTACATTTTGGGTCATTATCCATCTGTCCTGTGAAGTGCGGTCCTGTCAGTTTTGCAGTATTTGGGTGAATCAGAGTATTTAGTATAGATTTATACTTCAGAATTCATCCTTGTAGCTCTGTCAGCAGTTACATCATCAATAAGCTCCAGTGATCCATTTCCATTGGAGGCCACGCATGCCCATTCCATCACACTGCCTCCATTGTATTTGAGAGATGATGGTGCACGCCTTAGATCTGCCCAACATTCTAGTACAAGTTATTCTTGGTATCGTCTGTCCAGACAATCTTGGTCCAGAACTGGGCAGGCTTTATCAGATGTTTTCTGGCCTTTCTGTTCTTGAATGTTGCCAGTGTTTTGCACCTTGAGGTAAACCCTCTGTATTTATATTCATGAAGGTGCCTCTTGATTGTAGACTCTAACAGTGATACGCCTACCTCCTCCCGTTTTGATTGCTTCATTTCAGCTTTATTGTGGTGGTGCGCAGAGGCAAAATTACAAAATATGTCACTGTCTAAATACTTGTGAACCCCACTGTACATACAGACATTTTAAACATTAGTGTTAGTGTTTGTGTTGCTGATCATCTGTGATTGACAACCTCTCTATCAGGAGATGTCTGAGAACGGTGGCAGTGGGCAACTGATGGTGAAAGCTCGTTTCAACTTCAAGCAGAACAATGAGGATGAGCTGTCGTTCAATAAAGGTGAAATGATCCTTGTGACACGGCAGGAGGAGGGAGGATGGTGGGAAGGCATGCTCAACGGCAAGACTGGCTGGTTTCCCAGTAACTATGTCAGAGAGGTCAAATCTTGCGGTGAGTTGGGCCTCACATTTAAGATCATGTATTCCTGATGATGGCGCTGTCATTTTCAAAATGACTATTATAAACATTTTGTATGATGATCTGCATTTAACGCCTGATTTTGGAAATGTAATGATGGTGTAGTGGCATTGTTCTGTAAAGAAGTCTTTTGAAACTCCCTTCCGAACGAGGACAAAATAACGTAATTCAGTTGGATATTTAAAATCTCTAAGGTGGTTCTGTATTGCCTGGATATCAGTGTAAATATTTTGTCTTATTAATTATTATGAATTGACTTAGAAGAACTCTCCCATGCTTGTTGCTTATCTCCTCTGCAGAGAAGCCAATGTCTCCTAAAGGAACTCAGCTGACCAAGAACTACTACAGTGTTGTGAGTGAAATTATGTGGTTGTTTTCAAATGTATACTTACATAAAAAATACAAATTTTTCCCTACCGATCTTACAAAAGCTGAAATTCAGAAGGTTTTTAGACCAATTTGGTGTTATATACAGTTTGTATGGTGGTCAAAATGCAGGTTTGCTTGCAGCTGAACGATAGTGAGTGGCTTCACAGGTCACACTTGTCTTTGTTGAAAGTGACAGTGAGGAAATATTGTATTTGAAATCATTTAATTTGATCAGTCAGTGACAGACAGCATAATTCTGACAGCAGAGAAAATCAGGTGAGACCTGTAAAATGATGGCTTTTAAGTTTGTATATTTCCTACTCAAGTAATCAAAAATGTTGTATGACTGTCAGATCTGTGTGTTTGTCATTATTCATTCAACAAATAAATATAACATGCCTCTCTATCAGCACTGCATCACTTAGTTTTCTTACTGTTTAAGGGAACTTAAAATAACCAAAGTACTGATGAAGTAATCCTCCAGCTTTCGTTGGTTATTAACCTGTTATACGTGACATTTAAAATTTCTGGAAATGCTGTGCTTTCTTGAATCCTGACAACATGTAACCCGAAGTATTCTGCTGCTTTTGCAGGTGGTACACGACATCTTGGAGCATGAGCGGGAATTTGTCAAAGAATTACAAACACTGCTGAGTTGTTACCTACGAAACCTGCAAACCAGCGACAAGTAAGAGCAATGATGAGACGTGATAGATGCATTAATGAACAAAAGACACTAAAAGCAGAGGGCATAGTAGATTACCAAGGGAAATGGTGCTGATCATTTTGGTCATCCAAAATTCTTGAATTTCAAAGTGCAGTTGCCAGCTTGAACACTTTGGCTGTGTATCTTTAGGCTGAGCAGTGCAGACGGCACCACCCTGTGTGGAAACCTGGAGGAGATCCTGACTTTCCAGCAGGGACTGTGTGTGGCTTTGGAGGACTGTACCAAGTAAGCCGTGGTGGACATGGACCACCGTGAAAACCTTTGTAGTTTGATCACTTATATTCAGATTCTGTTCTATGTTATAGTAGTCTTACTGGAGCACAGTATTTGGACCCCCTCCCCCCATGTCTTGTTCTGTGAAACATAATAAACTCAGTCAAGAAAGCTCTTTTAGTTTTCATGTATTTGCAGTATTGGATCACATAGTGCACCACTCACACCCTGTATATTACTGCCAGTTGTTTCACAGAGCATACCACACTTCATTTCTGCAATCGCTTCCTTCCTCCCAGACGTCTCTTTTTCATGGCGCAGATACCAATGTGCAAAGGCTGAAATATTTTTTCAAATAGACAACCTATTTGCAAGTGTTTTTTTGGTGCATTTATGCACTGGTGCGGAAACTCGGACATCCAAAACTAATGGGGGAATAAATGGCTGCTTTGGGGAACTAAAGTATGTTCATACATATAGGAAGGTATGACATTCTTTTGGAAGTGGCCTATGGAAACGTGAGCAGTCTAAAACCAGCCCTTAAATTCTTAAAATAAGTACTTATACAGTGTCTTCAATTTGTCTCTTTCTCTTTGCAGAGTCCCAGAGGGCCAGCAGCGAGTGGCTGGCTGCTATTTAAACCTGATGGGTCAGATCAAGACTCTGTACCTGGCTTACTGTTCCAGCCACCCTTCAGCTGTCTGCATCCTCACTGACCACAGGTCAGCCCCCGCACACTAAACGCCGTAGACAGTCACACCAGAGAGGTCTTTGATCACAAAGGTCAAAAGGGAAAACTGAGATTAACAGTGAAATGTTATAGTCTTTCATATGACAGAGGAGTTAAGCCAGACTTCAGAATTTTTCTTATTTAGAGCAGTGTTTCGGGTTTACAGTTCTGCATGTTTGTGAGATGTTAGTTTTATTTTCTTTGACTTAAGTGTCATTTATTTTTCTAGACTCACTCAGCTGGTTAAGGTTACAATTTTATACTAGTTAACAAGGTTTTTCCAAAAGAGAAACAACTTTCTTCCAGCTATAATATAACCCAGTGGCTCAGTGGGATCCCCACAAGGGGTCACAAGATGAACTGAATGTGCCATGAGCGGATTCCCCAGGTATGACATGAGGGAAAAGAACGTTTTGCCACCCAAAATAATTTTTATTTCTTGAACCTGTCTCTTATCTAGTTATTTTTTGTGGATTTATGTCTCTTTGATTAAATTAAACAGTCTGAGAAGAGAAAAAAGTTTGCAGACCATTTATATTACTGCCCTAAATGGCCATAAACTTTGCTTACATGCTTTTCTTTTCACAGTACTTGTTCTATATATCTGAAAAGTAGAAAAGTGGTGTTGTGTAATTTTTTTTTATACTTCTGCATTATTGTTTTCTGCTGATGAGCTGTAGTTTAGCTTTTAGCCACAAGGTGTCACGCGTCCCATTTGTAAATGACCAGGAGGCTGAACCGGGTCTAAGCAGCTACACCGAATCCCGTGCACTGAAAATTTCCTCCAGTCAAGTTACCATTAAACTGAACCGGGTCTAAGCAGCTACACCGAGTCCCCGTGCACTGAAAATTTCCTCCAGTCCAGTTACCATTAATATGTATCACTGACCGGAACCTGCAGAATGTTGCATAGATCACTGTAAAATAGTAAAATCCAACGGTGCAGTTTAAATGATACAGTCCTGAATAATGAGAAGTGGATTGCCAGGTTCTACATTGCAAACTGCAGAATAGCTTGACTTACACAGGAAGCTGACTGTTGACAGGATATATAGAGTTGTGGTTATGTTGACAGGCAAGCAAGGCGCCTTTTCACAGTAAGCACATTTGCATTTCAGTTGCAGGAGCTCTTTCAGTGTTACATTCACATTTACTCAATGTTACCAGGTAGTGTTGCTACAGAATACGGTATGACTGAGATTCTGGATTTTTTAAAGCCTGCTGACAACTGTGCAGTGGAGTAAACCTGATAGCAAAATTGCAAAAACCTATTTTATATGGCCTTTTCAACTTTAACATTATTACAGTTGTGGTCTGTCCTCAGATGCAGGTGTGATACACTGTAAAAGTGTTTGTGGTTCTTACATCAATGACAAATACATGGAAATGTAAAAAAAAAAAGATGTTACATATATAGGCCTCACTGTAACTAGACTTCATTAGGAAGTGTGGTATTTTCATGGCTTTGTTGCCACACCATCTGTATTCAGTACCAATATTGTATTTATTATCAAAAATCTGACATTAATACGTGGAAACAGTTGTGTATTTTAACTTTCACTGCTACTCTACTGTATCTATAGTTAAAAACAAGTGTAGTTCAGTTCTGAAGTCATCATAAATCTGTATCTTCTGATATGTTCTCAAACCTGACTTGTACATTCAGAGGCTGGTTCTGTATTTTATCCCCATAGAAATAGTCTTTAAAAAAGCTAATTTACACTCAACTTTGCATAAAAACTCTTTGTTTGTTTGTATTTAACAGTGAGGAACTAGACAAGTTTATGGAGGCCCAGGGAGCGAGTGCTCCAGGGATCCTAACCCTGACCACCGGTCTCAGTAAGCCCTTTATGAGACTCGACAAATACCCGACCCTGCTGCAGGAGCTGGAGAGACATGTGGAGGTACTAGAGGAAATGTATAAATATATAAGGAAATAATAGATCAAATATTTTATTTAGATAAATAAAGAAGGGAAAATAATTATGAAATGTTGCATTCATATCTAGATTGTACAGTATATTTGTCACTGTGGTATAGACTATGCTTAACTGTATTATATTTTGTTGACTTGATTAACCTCCAATAACTAAATTACCACAAATGTGACATTGTATGTAAAGCTAAAGCCTGAATTTATTCTTCTCTGTATATCACAGAATATTTAGTATGTATACTTTTCTCTCTTTAAGATTTGACCACAGCGGATTAAGGTGCTGTGTTTGATCTCATTTTTCTTCTTGCCGCAGGAAGCCCACCCAGACTACGCTGACATTATAAAGGCCACTGCAGCATTTAAGAGCCTAGTGGTAAGTCTGCTTAGTGGTAACTGGCCTTACATTATATCATCTTATCTAATTCATAGCATTTTCCACCTCCAGATTTAATGTATTTGTTAATGTATTGTACCAAACAAATTCAAGACATAAAATATGTCTTAAGTAAATTTGCTATTCAAATGTAGGGTATTCTCCTCAATGTTTTGTCTTATTATAACTCTAAGAATAAAAACACAGATTGATAATTAACTGATTTGGTTTTGAGACATTGTTTAGAATTTTTATGAGGCTCCTTTAATGTCAAAAAGGGGAAACGCACAGATGCCAGTGTAACGTGCCTTATCGCTTCATAATCAAGCCTAGTGAGAACTTAATGAAAGTGTTAGCGCTTTTTCCTCTGCTGCACGTTGAGTGATCATGTTGTTCCTACAGTGGGTGGGGATTGAAATGCCATCTCAGAAGAGCTGGATTAGCAACGAGCAACCACATTGCACCTGAGTGAACTTACTGAGACACAGTTTCCCCAGCATAGCCCTTGAGTTCTTAGTAAGAATAGATGCGGTGACTCACATGTGTTTCATTGGTTGGGCTGCACAGGAAAGCAGGAGAAAAAAAAAAATCACACAATCCTATTCTAATTTGCAATTCTCACTTGTTTTGGTGTGTGTTTTGTGAATGTGTGGTCGGGTGGGCTGGCGCTTCAGAAATGCCACTTAAATCTCTTCAGTGCTCAGTCTACAGAATGTGTGCAGTGGAAAATGGCAGATGTTGCATTGTCATTTTTCCTGTTTGAAGAGGGAGAACCCCTGCATAACACCTGAAACTGTACTATTTTATGCTGCAGGTTACTCCTTATACCTCTGACAAATAAGTAAAAAAAAAAAATCACGTACTCCGTAAACTTTGGAAGAAAATGTTTACACTTTCTTAAGCTGTATGCATAGCAGAACAATATTTCCCTGCAACTTGTTACTCAGTATTTTTACAATGTTCAACAAAAAGGTTGAGTAAAATATAAATTTTACCAGTAATGAAGTACTAATACTCTAAAAGAAGGCATCATATTTTTGATACTGTCAATGAAAACCTACAAAATTGAAGAGGAGAAATGTTTGTCCAAAGCAGTCCTGTGTATATAACTTCTTGTGTTGCCATTTTGTTGACTGGTGAATATATTTGTGCGTGTGTGTGTGTGTGTGTGTTAGACACAGTGCCAGGAACTGCGGAAGCGCAAGAACTTGGAGCTCCAGATCTTGTCAGAACCAGTGCGGGGTTGGGAGGGAGACAGCATGAAGAGCCTGGGTCACGTGGCCTACATGTCCCAGGTCCACATGAAAAATGGGCCCAGTGAGGTGAGATGTGTGTGAAGTTTGATGCAGTCCAGGATGACAGTTGCCATTGCCTCCACGCAGGTGTTGGGTTTTAAAATTGTACATCAGGTTCCATTTGACAGCTACATTGACATAATATGTGAAGATTTTCCCTTTCATAAGTCCATTTCACATATCATCTAATCTCTTCACAGTCTGCTTGTTTTATATGAGACATGTATTGTAAACAGATGAAGGAAGTGTGAACAGCACCTTAAGGTGAAGTTTCAGTATTATTAAGCTCACTGATGGTAACCTGATCCAGTGTGTCCTTATTTAAATTGTGACACACTTGTCATTGCCTAAACGGATTATGCAAGTCTCAGCGTTTGTGAACCATGTCTGCTAAAATCCAACCTTCTTTGTTTCTAATTCAGTATCACCCCTCAAGTGCCAAAATGGAAACCTTATGTAGGCCATAAGCAGACTGAAAAGCCAGCTCCTGATTTTTGTGTGGTTTCTGCGCAGGGGTCGATATTAGTTGGTGGTTGGAAGAAAGCCCCACACAGACATTTTTTTTTTAATCACTACCAGCCACTTTCCAACCACCGATACATTCATTGTATTTGTTAACAAATCAACCACACATTATTTTCCATTGATATAATAATGAGATAACTAGTATCTAGTTGCTAACGGGAGCGGAAATATGCTACTGTCAGCTATAGTGATAGTTTCGCATCTGTGTGTGTGTGTGTGTGACTGAAACCGGCATACATTTGGCATTTGAACTAAAATAGCTGCTGCCACGTTCCTGTCAGTGACAACAAGGCCTAGTCCCATTGCTTACTTTTTTCACCACTGCCCCTTGTGTTTAAGTAAACAGATACAGCGAATTGTTGTCGGAAAGTTTGAATAACACTGCCGCCTTCAGCCGCGGTGATTTCTCTTGCTTAGTCTTTAAGTATTGGTTTGCAATTTTCAACAGCAAATAAGCAAAATTCAAAGAAGGGGATATGTTTTTGCCATCAGGGAATGTTTGTGGATTTGTTTGAGGTACGTAGCATCGCCTGCAGATATCTTTAGTTGTGATTAGTCTAGTACCACTCAGCTTTGAGTTTTCCTCTGAAAACCATTTGGAGGGCTATGTAGCTCTACCACTTCACCCTTCTCCTCAGTCCTAAAGAGAATCAGGGCACTGCTACCACTACACCTAAACATGGATAGGCCTAGGTTGTAGGGGCAAGGTGTGAAATGGGGTTTGGCCCCAGAAAACAATGGCTGTCAATGAAAACATTTAACCAGCCAACCTGTACATGTATGCCTAAACTATTAGGTCACATTCCAATCATTTCTTTTTTGTCTCTGTCTTGAAGGAAAAAGAGGAGCGCTATTTAATGCTTTTCCCTAATGTGCTAGTAATGCTTTCCGCCAGTCCCCGGATGAGTGGCTTTATTTATCAGGTGAGTTATAGCATATGGGCCCTACATCAGTCCTTAATGGGGTAATAAAACCGATCTGCAGGTAACTGAGAGGTAACTGAGAAATAAGTGTATTCTTATTTCTCAGTTACCTCCAGTGGAATCTACCCATGCAGTAGTAGTATTAGTATCAGAGAATTTGGAAAAAAATTAAAGCAACATTTAATATGTGAACAAATACATTCCTATCCATTGTTTTTGGGTGGCAGAAATCTTAGAGGCCCATTTCTTAAAACCCAAAAATATCTACATGGAAAGAAGTGAGAATGTCAGTCTTCATTTTAATGAGCACATAATTCCAACTAATTTCATTATTTTCCAATAATAAGCTATTTCTCTCCTACTCATAATGTTGTCTTATTTCCTCTCCTTTTGTTTGTACCATTCAGGGAAGGCTGCCACTGACAGGCACCACAGTAACAAGACACGCAGAGGATACAGACAATGCCCACTATGCCTTTGACATCACAGGTTTGCATATGAAGCTCTGGAAAAAATTATGACTCCTTTTTTCTTTTTAGGTTAATTGAGGATACCACCATAATAGAGTAGAATGATCTGTGCCCCAAACAAAGAAAGTAAAATGCCTCCTATTTTTTTTTAAAGAATGTATTCTTTGGACCTTTTTTTGGCCAGGACAGCATATGGCAGTGTAAAGTTTGTATTTACCTGTAGCTGCATCCCCTAAATTTGCTATTGGCTTTGCGCTTGTGATATATGTTGACTCATGTCAGCCACATGTAACTTTCACTTACATAAGTGTGGGTGCATGTGCTACATGTTTGTCTGTGTGCTGCAGGAAACATGATTGATCGTATTACAGTGTTCTGCATTGGTGCTCAGGAGTTACAGGAGTGGCTAGAGCACCTTCAGCCCTTTACCAAAGGAGGTAGCCCTGCAGGAACCATCTCAAAGGTTAGGATACACACACAAATAGAATATAAAGTCTAAGCAGCCAAAAGGGAACCATGCACCATGCTGAAGTGTGAAAAACTGTCATATTCACAGTTTGAGTGACACCTTGAGGTGACAGTCATTAGACTCATCTTTCAATCCCTGTGCAGTTATCGCACACTTGATTGTCTTTGTCTGCTTCTGTAGACTGTAGAAAACAAGCCACAGAGCATGGTCAGTACCCCCACTCACCTGTCCCACCTGGGCAGCCTCAGTACCGGCAATCGCAGCCCCCTGGAACCGCCAAAGATCAGCAAGCCCTGGTCTCTCAGCTGTCTCCGCCCTGCACCTCCCCTCAGGCCCTCCGCTGCACTGGGCTACAAAGAGGTAGGAGGTCGTAGAGCTACACAAACAAACCTACACAAGCTTGATATGTATTTTCGATACACGGTCATGCAGTCAACTGTCAGTCAGTTAGGCAGTCCCCCACCTCTACAAGTCCCTCTTGTCCCCTTCTCTGTTATTACTGGGCTCACACCTTCAGTGTTCTGCTTTATTTTTCCACTAAACATTCTGTTCAGCAGTAAAAGCTAAGAAATAGTGCAGTCCAACTAGATGACAATAGATACAGGGGTCCAGTCTGAGCTGGATTTTTTTTTTTTTTTTGTGACACCGTGATTACCAACACAGATGTGTTTGACACCCATAGTGTGCTTTTGTGCCTTAGTACAGAACTAGCTTTCAGCATTTACAAATAATGGTGGATATGTAGCTTTAGGTCTGTGGTCAGTGGCTCTCAAAACCTTGCACTGTGTTGCAGTGACAACAGGAAAACCCTTCACATCTGTAGATTAACACTTTGCACAATGTGTGAGCCAGTAAGTGGTGACTATGAAAGGCAGCAACAAACATTATTATAAGAATAATGATTATACAAAAACTAGAATAGATCATCTGTGTCAGAAACATGACAGGGTGTGTTGCTGTTTTGAGGAAGTTTATTCCAGTAACAACAACAGTATTATCACCGAGCCTGACTGGCAACGGTGTTAAGAGCCGCTTGCCTTGATGAGGCTCATTCTGTGATTGACGTGGGAGGTAGAACTTATCAGTCAGCACTAACACTTTCAGTTGTCATTTCATTGTCTAGTATGTAATGTGTTAGCAGTAAGAATGTGTCTAGGCATTTCTGCTCTAAATAGGACTTTCACTCTCTACATTGTCACACTAAATATGCACATTTCTACACAAACTCATTCTTGTATACAGTGAGAATAAAGCAGGCTTGTAGCTATCTGGGTCTTTTTCTGCCCTACACATATTGCATGCATATTCCTCTGACTGTATAATCTTCTTTGCATGCACTTCTCCATATATCTGTTTGTTTGTTTTTTTTTTTACATGAAATAATCACCCAATGTTGCGCTGATAAAGAATAAGTGAATGGCACCAGGGGTGTTAAATGTTCACCATTAACACTCTATCACATCCTTCTCTCATTGTATTTTTCATGCACATTTCCCCTTTTTCTTTTTCTCCATCCTGCCTTCTGTAGAGGATGTCTTATATCTTGAAGGTAAGGTTAGATCACACTCATTTCTGTCTGTGTGTGTGTGTAAGGATGTGGGTTGGGGGGTGGGATGGGGTTGCCTGTGTGTTTTGCGTGTGTATTTGCCCCAGTGTTGAGCTGGCATGCCAATGCACTGTTTGTTTCACTCCTTCCTTACTGCCATCTGTTGGCTTCCTGTTTTTTGTGGCCCTGTGTGTCTGCAATTGTATTCTCTCTTTTCCTGTAGTGAGGTAAGATACCATCACCATGTATGGTGTCTCTTATGTGTTTAAAAAAAACACTCAGTTCTACTAGAGGTGCTGTTTTTAGAAAGTGTGAAATGCAGTCAAGTTTGCTGTCATTCTGCTGACACCTTAAGCCATTCTTAGTTGCTCTTTGCCCCTGCCATCACATCCTGTTTCCTAGCGACAAACTATGGATACCTGACAAATTGTACAAAATGTAGCTTCCAGTCCAAAGTTAGCATTAGCTGACCAATGAGTAAATTTGGCAGTCTAGTAGAACTCTGGTTCTGCACTAATGTTACACAAAGTTTAAATTACTCCCAAATCAAAATTATATTAAAGCAATACAAATGTAAAATCATGACCACGTTAGGTTGTTACTGTTATCAAAACAAATGCATTAGCTTTAGATGCTAACACATCCAGAAGGAAAAACACCATATCTGAATCAAACTTGAGTCGTTTGGTTGCTTTTAATGCTCTCCATCTCAAAAAGCCAAACAAATGTTAACCCTGTTTGTCCGTCTCTGTCTGCACCAAAGAACACAGGCCTCTTGGTCTGGCAGCCACTGTTTTGGACTTTAATTTGCTGAGAGGCCCTTCATGGCTGGCTGTCTGAAAGCACTACTCGTGGTTTCACACACACTTTTTAAAACCTTTGTTAGATGGCAGGATGGGCTAATTTATGGACTATATTTTGACAACACAGAATAGAGAAGCTGCGGAATGACAACAGAAGGGCTGCAGGGAGCAGCGTGTCATGGAGGGGCTAATACTGTACACCTGAGAGACACCACATCCAGTCTCATTTTGATCTTGGTTAATGCACCTTTCAACAAAACTCAGAATGATGCTTTTCTTTGTTCAGGGCGTGTGGGCAGTTGTTAAACACATTAGCCATAATTTCTTGAAGTGGTTATATATCATGCCTTGTACCTGTGAATTTCTTTAGCTCCTAAATGGCCATAAAAATCAATAATGCCGCTTTAAAGTGACATATATATTGCAGAACGTGTGTGCACTATGCAAAATCCACTACCAGTGTACTCCAAACACAGGTACATAGTGTGAAACACAGCCAGTCTTAACACCAAAATTACCATACACCACTGAATTGACATTGGCACACCAGACCAGTTAGGAAGGAAATGTTGCGCTGTACACCTCTATTTACATGAATCCCTGAGCCTTTAAAGGTTATAAGAGACATGATTTACTCAGTTATTCCTCCTGATTCTTATGAGTGAAACTGTGATAGTGGTTCTGGATGCTCCATGAATGGGTTTGCTGTCGGTTTTCCCACTGAGCGTTTGACTAAGCTTCTCCTTTCCAGCCAAGGGCATGTGGAAATTACAGCACATAAAGTATTGTATAAAGTATGTCATTCATTATGCTCATGTTGACACCACACATTCAAATGAGTACAGTTATTTTTAGGAAATTAACTATTCATCACATCTCAGCTATTAATGTGCTCAGGAAGGGAAACAGTCATTGCGCTTGTTTTCAAACTCAACCCAGCAGAAAAAGAGAAAACCTCACGTTTGTAAAACCAAATCATTGTGGTTTCAAGTAGTGTCTATGAATAATTTCTAACATCTCGCTTTCCGTTCCCATGGCTTCGTTAACAAATCCATAAGTATTTTTTCACTTGCCAGTACTGTAATCAGTGGTGGATAAAACCTTAAAGAAAACAAAAGATTTAATAAAATATTTTTATAGTTTTTTTGTATAACCCTGTTTGGCAGGATTCATATTGGCACATACAGATTACCTGGTTAGTTTGGTCACACTCATCACCATATGCTTGCTGCCTTGTTTGATGGTATTTTGCTCTTTAATGATGGTTTAGAAGGGATGCACGTCCCTGTGAGCTTGCATTCTGTTTGGTTTGGAGCCTTGGCTTTACCGCTGTGTGTAGCAGTGTGTCTGACCAGAGACCAACTCAGTTTAATGTTGCACTCCTCCAGGACTCCAGCAAGAGCCCACGACCCATGAAGAAATTCCTGCCGGGTAACAGGAAAAAAGAGCGGAAGCCCTCTGATGACGAGGTTCACATAAGGAAAAGTAGGATTTTCTCTTTCTTACTGTTATGTGAAGTTGTATGGGAAGCATGAGAGAGAGAGAGAGGTTTATTATTATCAGATGTTTGTGTGGTTTTAATGGTGTTATTGATCATGATGTTAATTTAGAGGGTTGATAGGATGTAATTTAGTTTGTGTTTATATTTAAAATATAACAAATATGGATTTTGAGCAAAGCTTTAAAAAACGAGAATGCATATAACATCACAACACTATCTGCTGAATGAAGCTCCTTGGTGTGTATTTATGATATTGCTGCTGCGTGGCTTTGTCAGGCACCGTCGCTCTGGAGGAGGACGCTCAGATACTGAGGGTGATTGAGGCGTACTGCACAGGAGCCAGCCTGCACCAGACCACCACAGGTGTGTGTGTGTGTGGGTGTGTGTGTGTGGGTGTGGGTGTGTGTGTGTGAGCAAGAAATAAGATGAATTGCTTCTTTAATGGCCTCTCTGATTGCATATCTTGAGCAGATGATGTAACCATGAATCAAGCTTTCCCATTAATTTCTGTATGTATATGCAGCGGTGCGGAAGGAGTGCGTCCCTCAGGTGCTCCTGCCAGAGGAAGAGAAGATCATTGTGGAGGAGATAAAGAGCAACGGGCAGACAGTTATCGAGGAAAAGTATAGATATTATTTCGCTATTGGCTTTTATATGATGATGATATTTATTAGGGATGTAACGATATTTGTAATTTTGTGATTTCTCGATAGAAAAATGTCTTGATAATGTCTGGGACTGAGGGTACCTACATATGGTTATTTCCTTAGCATAACTACATGCTGGTCGCAGAATTTGGAATTGAACACTTAACAATATGCAAATACTGTCGGACAAAAGCAATACTAGCCCCATTTAGGACCGAGACAGTCCAGGATGTCTTGCAGAAACAGTTTGGACACAACTGCACACAACACTTTAACGGAGATAGGCAAACAAACTGGACACACATATGCAAAACCAACCTCGACTGGTACAGTGGCCTACTGAGAACCCGACCACCAGACAGAGAAATTGAAACTTGTGGTGTTAAAACACTGATCCACTGCGAGTGACTTGCTTTATTTACAAGCTCCAGCTACTGCTATAATATACTGTATTATTTTATTGATCTTGTTTTTCGGACCTCACTGTTTTGATTTCTTTCAGGAGCTTGGTTGACGCCGTGTACGCTTTAAAGGATGAGGTTCATGACCTGAAAAAGGTGAGAGTTTTGTCTGACCACTGTTTTGACTGCGCTCAGACATTTCACTAACTCGGTGTGTATAGATAATTTAGCACATGTCAGCAACATTGTTCTGTGTCCTAATTCCTAAGACTGCCACTGTACTTTGTTGGCGTTTTGGTGGGTTGCAGATTTGATTGAATGCACTAAAGCCGGACTACTATCGGATTTTGTTGAGGGGCAGATATTAACAGTGCAGAAATCTGATAACAATATATGTAATCAAATTTTTTTTTTTTTTACATAAAACACAATATAAAACAATAAATAATCAATAAATAAACAAATAAATTTTGAAGGGAAGTAAAAAATGAAATGTATATTTAAAAGCTGTAAATAAATGCACTTAAAGCTATATTAACATGATTTTAGAAAATATTAGTCAGATATATATTGAAAGATGCCACCACTGAAACATTCGTTTATTTACTGCTCTGTCATTTCTTTTGCATAACTGGGCAACACTTTACTCGAACCCCATCTAGCATTATAAACACTAAATTAACATTCAATCAGCACAGTATAACAATGGTCGGTGTGTTAAATACTCTTATTGTCTGAATGTTTCACAGGAGAATAAGTGGATGAAGCAGTTTCTGGAGGAGGAGCAGAAGTCTCGCAAAGAACTGGAGAGAGTTGTTCGAAAACTGGCCAAGCAGAAGAACGATTGCCCTTGGGATGACGGCAGCCACTGAACACATCCCTACAATCCTCCCCATCTTAGTGCTGTGCGTGTACAGACACATTTATGTAAGCATGCTAGCAGAGGGACACGAAGGGTCAGGCATACGTATGTATTTGTGTATCTGTCTACGTTGCATCTCTGTATTTCAATCCCGTATAACAAAGCTGGATTCCCTCACTGGCGATGATGCGTTCTTCACATCAAGTGCTGGAGTTTTATTTGACATTTTGATGAAATCTAATCTGTCTTCCTGATCCAGCCTCATTAGATGAGACTACAAACATGCTTCTTCCTGCGTGAAGCAGCTCAGCTAAACCAAGACTGAAAAATGGATGTTTCAAACATTCTGCCTCTTGGCAACTGGCACTGTGAACACTCTCCAGCAAACTGAACAATTTCAAACAACGACAAAACAAGTTATCCACTGCTTCTTAAGCTTCATGTTGGAGGTAGCAAAGGAGTACAAAGCCATTGAATTGAAAGATGTTCTCTTGCATGCACTTGTATTACCAAGGGGACTGATTTTCCTCTCTTTAAATCATGACTGTTTTTTGTTCCCCCCAGTGGGGAAATGGATTTATTGAGCGTTCGTGAGCATGTCTGACATCTACACATTCACTTTACAAGTTTCCACTGCAGCCAGTCAGATACTGTAGATGAGCTCATTGTCTTACATTTACTTGTTTCCAAATGCAGCTCATGACTGTTTATTTAAAACCTGCATGAATGTACAGTATTTCTACAGGATGAGTTCTACGTCAGAAATGTGATAATCAGGATATCCAGATATATACTGTAGGCCAAAGCTATCAGGGATGCAGCTGTATAATAAAATAGAAAAGGCTCAATTATGTATCATTTATTAAACAAATAATGATAGATTTCACCCTTACTCTCCTTAATAAAATATATTCAAGTATCATTTTAGCATATTAATTATATGGCTTTGCTTTAGTTTTGGGGCAGCACAGTGGAACAGTGGTTAGCGCTGTTCCCTTACAACAAGAAGGTTCCAGGTTTGAGCCCCGGCCGACCCGGTGCCTCTCTGTGTGGAGTTTGCATGTTCTCCCTGTCGCCTGCGTGGCTTCTCTCCGGATACTCTGGCTTCCTCCCACAGTCCAAAGACATGCAGCTTAGGTTGATTGTTGACTCTAAATTGCCCCTAGGAGTGAGTGTGGGTGTGTGTGGTTGGTTGTTTGTTTGTTTGTATGTGTCAGCCCTGTGATGGACGGGCGACCTGTCCAGGGTGGACCCTGCCTCTCGCCCAATGTCAGCTGGGGTTGGCTCCAGCCGCCCCGCGACTCTCTTTAGGATAAGCAGTATAGATAAAGGATGTTTTTATTTAGGATTTTTAGAAATATCATTTATTTATTGTTCACCGAAGCATTTAACTGTGGAGTTTGCTTTATAGTAGCTTTGCTGCCTTTACATCTGTCTGAAATTTTATTAAACTATACTGATGTGTGAAGGCAGACAAAATATCTTTGTTTCAGCCAAGACAAGATATAATTTTTTTCTAATGCAAAAGAGGTAAAATGTCTTTAATAAAGAGTCTGACTTGAGGATTCAGAGTTAGACTATTTGTCTGCAGCCTCTATGCCCTCCTAGCACATTTCCGTAGAGCTAAATTAGACGGACTGAGGAAATGGACTGAGAGAGATTTATTTGTTGGTGGAGAGTAGAGCTCAAATGTTTAAGTGCCTCCTGAAGTGGTCGATTAACTATGGAGAGTTTAAGACCAGACTGGGACTACATGCGTGCTTTATAAAAGTGTCACGCGTGGCTTGTTGTAGTATTCAATGTTATTGGCTCAAGCTTAAATGGTTAGATATATTAGGTATGAAAAACAAGCAGGGCTTTGCATGCTATTTAAGATGCAGTCTTTTTCCAAGGACAAACAAAGGTACATTTCATCATGTGGTTGAGTGTGTGTGCACTGTCAACACTGTTATCTACTCTCGCAGCAGTGGATGCTAGTGAAATGCAATATGTGACCGGTCCCAGAATGGTGGGCAGGTTTGGAGAAATTGCAATAATAAAGAATTAATTAGCCCAGTTTATTAACCAAAAAAGGGCCAGACCTTGTGGTTCAGCAACCACACAGTTAGGCTATTCGTTATATTCCATTTGCCTTTATCTAGTCAGGTTTCTTGATGTTGATGACTGTTTTAAAATCGCTGACCATGTCCCATGTTTCATTACAGATGATCCAAAATGTAATAATATTGGAATACTGTAAATCCCTGTTGGAAAGTGCTGTTTTACGTGCACCTCCTTACAGGGAGGTCAGTGTTAGGGTACAAGTCAGCACTGTTAGAACTGCAGCAGAGTCGCTGTCTTGCTCACGGGCACTAAAGCAAGGTGACTTCTTGCTGTTGTGCTCTCAGTGATCAGTAATGACTCCTCCCCTTGGGCCGCACTGTTAGCAGGAAGATTCTCTTCAGCGTTACAGAGACTCTTCTCCCTGTACAGATATGTGACTCTGTCCTATCATATGTTCATTGTTGATATTAACATTGCCTGTTTAAACAGTTTTTAGTGTAACATACTGTAGTTTTCAATTCCCAGTAGCCTCAGTGAGCAGTTACTGGTGGTAGGGGAGTTGAACGTCGGTTTCGTCTTGTTTATCTGAAATTAACATCTCCAGACCACTGTGTGTATTGTTTGGAAAGGTTGTTCTATGCAATTATTGTTGTTGCAAGTATTGTAATGCTTTTTTCCTAGACACTCTGTACTTTATGTTTGGTATGGCCATTCTTTTATTAAAAATTGAATATAAAAATTGGAGTGTAACTTGTGACACCAGTTTCTCCAAGTGAGAAACGGAAATCTCCAGAGCTTTCTTCATTCATAATGGAAAATCCACCAAGCCAGGCCTTTCCATGCAGCAGCATTCAGCACGTGTGGGGTTCAGGACTTTGTAGGTTGTTCAGATTCGGTAGCAAGAAACCCTTAACAGGATGGAAGGAGTGACTAGAATAAATGACATCCTGTGAGAGTGCGCCACCTCTGCATCAGTACACTCCTCCATAGAGATTCATACTTTCCATGCAGTTCTGCCACACCATGACAGTGATATGTGAAACACTGCTAGGTTTTGTAATGTTGCAGGTGCTAACTTTAAACTTGCAGTGCACTGTTTAGCTCTTAAATGGGTAGAGAAGGGGGGTGGAGCTTTTCCTGTATTAGTCACCAAGTTTCTTAAACCCACTAAATGGGTTAAATTGACTCTGGACAAGGTGTAGCTAGTGATTAATAAAAACTAGGTCAACATAATTTAAACTTTTATTTATTTATATTTTAAAAATTAGCCCATTTTCTACCAGTCCTCAATATGTGTAATTAATATATTTCAGTGTGGGGAAAAAAACAGGCGTTCTGTAGCTTGCTTTGGAAAATTGTCAGCAGAAAAATAAATGTGATTCAGGAGGCCAAACTTGAAGAAGTACAGGTTTGACTCAAAATAATTAGATGCTGACACACGCAGTTTGATGCCACCACAGTGATCACCGTTACTGAGCTGAGATACCGTACATGAGCAGTGACCTATATCTGTTCTATTTCTTGAGGCTTAGCATTATGAGCAAATGTGTCTGCGCTATGTGGTTTCCTGTGTCCTATAAATTTAAAGCCACAGTGGCTGAATGCACAATGCAATGAGTTTAGTGCTGCTTTTTTTTTTTTTTTTTTTACATTGACCTGATCACATTTTAGTAGTTTAGATTTGCCAAGCATCTCAACAATGATTCTTTTTCAGACAATGTTCTTTTGATTTACAGAAAAATGCCTGCACCCTGGTCCTTTACACAATTTTAAATATTCTACATTTTGGTGTACACATGTACAGTAGGAAATATAGTCAGTATATCTTTGTAACCTTACAATGAAAACATCAGATATGTGGTGCTTTAGTCTGGATGTTTTAGTCTAATGTCTACCTCCTTTACATCTAGTGAACTTCTGACATGGGTACATGGAAGACAAACTTTGAAGACCTGAAGCAATATTTTAGATTAAATATATAAAGTTCATTTCATGCAACCAGACAATCATACAATCTCATTTACATCAATAAATACAAAATAACATTCATAATACTACCACAGGAACACAGAATAACACACAATATATGTAATTTAATAAATTATAGTTTAGGAATGTGGCCTTTTTCTTTGAAATCCACAAAAATCCCCCTTATTTAAGTGTTCTCAGAAGATTTAAATCCAAGTCCATCCACTTAATGAGCTCCCCCTCTTCAGCTTAGGTCCATGCACATGCTCATATAGTAGTCCTACAGTTTGTACATCCCAAAGGTTGTGGCTCCATCCTCAAGGTTCACCAGTGAAATGTTCTGTACCCAGACACTGAGCTGGTTTCCTTTCTCTAATGGGAGCACCTCACCCTGTGTGGCCGTGCACAGGCGAGGGGTCCCTGAAGACGTGCTGTCCAGGTTACAGTAGGCCTGCATCACAGTAGTCTCCTTTCCTGTCTCATTCTTCCTGAGCTTGACTATACTGGCCAGTGGGATCTTAGGATCACCCTTGGAGAAAGTCACCCTGGAGTACACATAGTAATCACCAGGCTGCTGGATAGTCAGCCAGCTTTTGCGGTAGTAGTTGATGTTCTTTTGAACTGAGCGGGTCATGTCCCACTGGAAAGAGACATAGGGAGATGTTCAAGCAACATTACTGATAACCCCATTTTGCATTAATAAAAATCCAAAATATGGTATTTTCATAATGTCTTACCTTTTAAACTCTGTGTTTTTTTGTGTTCAACCACCATGCGTGCTAAGGTTCTGTAGGAGTTTTCTTGTTTTTCTGATAACAGAGAAGCAGCTGGAGGAGAGAACAAACTTCTAGTCAGAGTCATTTTTGAGATTGGAATTTTGTATGCCATGTATACAAGTATTTTTAGGAATATAGAAATGAAATTAATATACCTTGTCTTTCACTTGAAGGGCTTTTTTCCTGTAAGAATGAAAACAGTTGATCAGGGACAGATAGTAGGCCACAATATGGTGAATACAGAGCTTCCTACTTACTATACTGTGTACATCGTATTTATAGTTTCATAGCTCTCTGTCTTTGTTCACAAACTGCTCATATTGTGACAAGACAATACGCTGTGACTATCACACCTCGTCTGCTTTTTATGGAACATTTCCTTTTCATAAAGCACAGTTTCATTGGCCTAGCTCTTATGTCTTCGCATAAACCAAATGTGTGAGTTAAAAAAAAATCTGTTTCAATACCCTGGTGTAAGCAGCGTGCTATACAACTGCTCTATTTGTCTTTTAGAATGAAACAATCAATTTGCCATTAAAACTGAAATGTCTATTTAACAGTTAGTGTTTAAAAAATTTAAACAAATTTTATTTTAATACTTTACAATTTTTTTAAACCTTTTTTCATCTTTATTCAATAGGTGCAAAATAAAATAGTTGAACCTGTAATGCCTTATTAGAGTATTGTATAGTTACTGTAAAAAACATATAGGGCCAATTCTTAGGATATCTCAGCTGTATTGTTAAAATTTCTTAATCAAAGTGAAAAAATATTTACCATTTTGCCAGTTTGGTACAGATAGATGAATCCTGCAACAGACATCAGTAAATGCAGCACCACTACACCAACCAAGAACCGAATGAGAGGCCTGTTGTGGCCTTGAGGTGCAAGCGGAGCCGGGAAGAGGACAGGGGTTGACCTGTTGAGGCGTGGAGGCACCGGTGGTGGAGCCACGCTGGTGTGGTAAGTGTTGATCATGGCGGAGAGAAGTGGTGAAACTTAGAGAGACCTGGCGTCCGTGACATCCCATGCACTTCTGAACTTCTACTCTCTCAAGTAACTGAGTTTTACTCTAGGGAAAGGCAGACTCTGCTACTAACAGTGAAAACAGTACATAGAAAGATAAATACAGAATGTAAATATATATATATATATATATATATATACATACATGTGTGTGAAATGCCTTTTTTGTATTTCTTCCTTTCAGTAAGATATCCCTCTAAATGCCATATAACGTCATGCAACCTTTTATTACTCAAAAATTCTGTCAATGTGGCAAATAGAACACAAATTACAAATGCAGTGAATCGTGTGGTATATATAAAGTAGTAGTATATAATACAGTAGAGTTGATATATTGAACCATTATAGTATTTAAAGTAGGTGTCATTATCCAGAGAACATCCAAAAACCTATTTGTTGAGTGCATTTACACAGTTTTTGATGTTGTGGGTATCGTCTGAGACAAGGGGCATGGTCTTCACAAATGAGCACAGCAGCAGCAAATAGATATGATTTAAACATACCAGAAGCAGGAAACAACACATTATATGACAGTGCAGTTTGAAAAGTAGCCAAGGAGTTGTTCTGGTTTTAACAATATTGGTTTGATTTAGCTTTTTACTTTACAACAAATCCAGGAGACACCTTTTAAAAAGTATCCAATGACTAAAAAAACAAAAAACACCAGATTAGTATAGCCCGCTGAAAGAATGCTGAAAATATACTTATTTGCCTTGGCTTTTAATACATAGTAGGGCCTGATGCATTCCTTTTAATCTAATTTATTGAATGTGTGTCATCTCTGTGCCTGAGATATTGTTTTATTTTTGCACTGGATCTATTTTATTTTAGTTATTTATGGTGATTTTATTCTGTTTATGTAAAGTACTTTGGTCAAGTGGATGTTTTTAAAGTGCTATACAAATAAATTTGGTTTGATTTAATTTGAGTTTATTGAGATACAAGACGAGGTTGTCAATTTGTGATGAGAACCGCAGCTTATGTAAACCCCTTTGCTTGTGGTGGCACAGTCACTGGGAATAAGACCCACCAATGTTTTTCACTGCACCCACACATCATAGTTTGGCTAATGTGAAACATTTTTATGTGGTATATTCATCCAGTTAGTCACTGCCTGTTGCATAAAACCAAAGGCAATTCAGCAGATGCAACTACATCATTACTGTAGAACAGTTTTGCTTGTGTGAGGTTGCTGAATTAGTTGCATTTGTCTCTTCAGTACAGTAGCATTTGAGTGCAGATTTTTATACCCATGGGATGTTTCACATATAAATTTGATAGATAGATACTGTAGATAGTGACATGAGGTCAAAACATCCCACTAGTTAAAGTTAACACAGTACTGTTTCTTTGTCAAATTGTCTCCCAAATTGGAAAAAAAAACAGTGTAACCTGTGGTTTTTAGTTTTCTTTTAATAATGATTATAAATAATTTTGTGCATGAATGTAACAGTATATTAACTCCAATACTTTTACCGTGTACATTGTTGTTCACAGAGAACAGTATATTGGAAAACGGTAAAAGTATTGGAGTTAATTTATATTCATGCACAAAATTATTTTATGTATTTATGTGTACAGCACACAGGTATGTATACTTTAATGCAACCATTATGAGAAGTCTGCAGATGTTCCTTTAAATACCGTTTCTTGTTGACTCAAAGCTTCCCCTAGTGGTTACAAACACTCAGCTGTCAACACAAACAGGTAGTTCACTTGAACCACAGCATGAGCCATAGGGTTTACCTTAAACTTGACAATTTAGAGATGATAGAATATGCATTAAATACAAATTCTTTAGATGTTATGTTAGCCCATAGTAAAGAACACAAGAAAAGTAATGACAGGTTGGGTCTATTCAGTTGTGTTTATTCTGAAGACAAAGATCAACTGAAGCATTTCCTCTACATTTTCAACAGACTAAACCAGATTTGACCTCAACAACAGCATCAAGCCATCAGTTTTGAAAAGAAGAGGAAAAAGAAACAATCCCTTGTCGAGTCCTTTGTACGTGAGAACATAAATTCAGCAATAAAGACCAGTATGTTTTCTATACTATAGTAACTGTCAAGCTTGTAATATTTCTTTAAAAAAAACCCTTTTCAGACATTCATCTGCAGCACTCAACAACATGTAAGCTATTTATGTGTTAAAGATTACAGGAAAAGGTTTCAACAGGGCTGGACAGAGCAAATCAATAGAAAGATAATGGCTGATACAGAAAGAAAGGTCCAAGAGTGGTGACATAAATGAATAGTTAAAGTACTGTTGTAATTAAACAATTTGATCCAAATACCAATAGAACATTTAAAAAGAGTTATGGTACAGCTACTAAATGAGATTATATTACTGGATTGTTTGTGAAGTGCCTATTCTATGAATTAGACCAGAATGATGGTGGCGTGATGGGGTTCATCAGGAAAACAAGCCCTGTTTTATTATGCCAATTAGTTATTGTATCTTCATGATTGCAACATGTTAAATACCACTTTCAGTGCATTTCCAATGTGGTCAAACAACAAATGACCATATTAAGAATGACATTACAGAAAGTCTGGGGAAGTGTGTGTTGTTGTGTACATACGGTTCTACAGTCACATTATCTATGGTAAATGGTAAATGGACTGTATTTATATAGCGCATTTTTTCACAGTGTGTTGCACTGGCCAAAGATGATACACCATTCACCCATTCACACACAACATTCAAACACGATGACGACAGGCTGCCACACAACGGCGCTAGTCAAGCCACCGGGAGCAAAGCTTGTAATTATCATTCATTTTTTTATTTGACATCCTGGGTTTCTGCAGTATCATTAAGTAAAAAGTAAAGATAAATTATATTCAGTGGTGGAAGAAGTATTCATTAAGTATTACACTATAAAAGTTTAGAGGTATTAGAAACAAAATATACACAAACTATCAAAAGTAAAGGTATTACTGGCACAGAAGTAACAACTTTAATATAGCTGAGGGCAGTGAAGCTAATTTAGCTACTTCATATCATTGGGTAGTTTAATCTGTACTACTGTCCATGTGTTTTACATGTAAAAAGTAGTTACAGAAATATATAGCTGTCAAATAAGGGTAATGAAGTAAAATGTGCAAGATTTCCCTCAGAAAAGTAGTAAAGTATAAGTATAAAGTAGCATAAAATGAAAATGCTCAAGTAAAGTAAAGTAAACGATTCTATTTTTGTATGGTACACAATACTCTTTAAAGATTATCTTAAGATTACAACAAAAAGTCATTAATAAAGCATTACTATCCTTCATTTTTTTTGGATATATAAAATATTTTTATAACAGCTAAAACTCATCCTGCATCAGTATTTACAAGAAGGTCACAATGTTCACCCTTAATACCCTTCATCCAACTTCACCACAAAGGCAGCAACAACATATACAGTGCTCGGAGATCAACAAGAGGAATGGCAAAGTAGAAAAACAGGTTTGTCAAAGTGTTCCTGTTCAGAAAGGTGTTTTCCTGTTAGTCCATGCTGAGGCACTGAAGTAATTTTGCTCAGATAGCCGCTCAGGGACTGAAATCACTGCTGTTGCTTCTCTGTGTGTTCTCAGGTGACACTCAGAGGCCTGTTTGACAGGAAAACATCTGACAGCTATGAGCAGAAAGCCAAGCGGTGTCACACAGCCGCAGGTATGCTGTTTAGCTGAAACTGTCTCTGCTGCTCCAGTCACCCTCTCTTCAGTACCAGTACAAGTCTTTCTTGTCCAGATGCCGTCCTGACACAGAGGAGACAAAATATAAATAGCTCTAATGGTTCCTCAGCAGTTCCCAAGAATCAGTTAAGGAAGTCAAAAACTAACACAAGCTTAACAAGTAGCTCCTAAAGAAATGTAAACAGGAGTAGATAATGATAGATGAATGACACATACTTGCTTCCTTTAAGTAAAATAGTCTATCACACCCTTTTGCTAATATGCAAAATGGATTGTTTTGTTGTTTTTTTTTTACATATCAAGAGGTTTTTAATGCTTTCCAGTAAAAACTCAATTGGTATCTCCGGGCTGAGTAATGCGATGCATTTCCCATGACTTGGATGTGTAAAATCAGCTGGTGACCTGTCTTGATATGTTCCTTCAAACTACTCAGGATTTTTGCAGAAGTCATTTTAAAGTGCTATTAGTTTCTCTGTCAGTCATTCCACTGGTTTGATATATATTTTTTATTTTATGACTGCAGGCTTACCTGGTTCAAAGACTACAGGAGGGTCCACAGACTCTCGAAATCCTTGAGGTACCGTCCAGCTGGGAAGCAGCTCTGACTTGGAGCTGGATGCCATGCTGGGACCTGTCTCACCCCGGTCACTATGCAGTAGGTTGAGCAGGGATGTGGTGTACTGCTGTCCACTAAGATTCAGCCCTTGTGGGGACAGAGAATACGCAATGGGTGGCAACCCTGGGCCCTCTCCTGACCTGGTATTGAGGGGGGTCCATGAGGCGGGAGCATCGTTTGTAGGGCTGAAAGTCCGGAGGCGTCCTGCTGCAGGAGGGACCAGTGACTCTGTGGAGCAGTTGACAGCACTGCTCTGACAGGTGTCGGTGTTCTCTGCAGGGGACACAGAACAAAAGTCAAGCAGTGAGGATCATCAGGACTGATTATTATTATTATTTATTTGCAGTCAGGTAGATCATACCATGTTGATTTTGTGTGCTCACCCAGTTTAAAAGCTTTGCGTATTTTCTTTGTCTTTGTTGGTGGAGGCCTGGTCTTACAGACTTTGCTGAGAGCACGGGTGAAGTGAGCATCCACCATGCTGTTGATATCCCCCTGGAAATAAGTCAGGATGACACACTGAGAATGCTCCTCCACCTTCACAGCTCTCGGACTGTCTGTTCTGTCCTCCATGGGTCAGCTCTGACTGAAAAATGATGATTAGAGATGCTTAGCATAGACTATACCAGTATCTTTTATAATTGAATCATGAATTATTGTATTATTATTGTATTAATTATTGTATTATTTCACAATT